CCGCAGGCAGGGCCGGCGCCGGGGCGGGGGGGTCCCCGGAGCTGCGCTCACGTCCCAGCCCGAGGGGCTTTCGCAGCCGCCAAGGGGCTGGGGGTCCCCCTGCCGCTGGCAGGAGCGGGGCTGGTCGTCAGCCCCTTCCTGCTGCCGGGGGAGCGTGGATAAGACGAGGTAACCTCGAGGGTCAGCGGGGCCCGCAGTCTAAATGTAGCTGAACGTCTGATTCCTCTTTAAAAATCCCCACGCAACACAAACTATCAATCTTTTCGAGTTGGTCGTACACCGAACATTTAGGTTTGAGAGTTTTGATCTTTCTCTCACCGTCTCCTGTGTTCATCTGTTTACTCGCCCGCCGCTGCAGCCCTGACCCGAGGGCTGGGCTCCCCTGCCCCAAGACTTTCTGCGTACCCTCTTGCGCAGTGCGTTGGGAGCTGACGTCCCTGTCTGAGATCTGCAGGTGTCCTTGCAATACAAGAAAATGTCAGCCAGAGTCAGGGGAAGCCGAACTGTTATCCTTTCCCTCTGCTGTGTGTATGCTAGGAGCAAATTAGCACCGAGTTTTTAGGAGGTGTCGTACTAAGCGGTAGAGCCCCCCCCCCGCATATGAGCCCCTGTGCAGATCCCTATACTGGCTTCGGTGGGACTCTGCGCTGCCAGAAACATCTCCCTGCCCAATGCGACCTGCGTGTTATTAGGGTTTGGGATTTTTTTGATGCAAAAGCTTAAAGACAGTGGGACTTGACCCCAAATCATTTCTTGTTTCAGGTACAAAAGCAAGTGTCTAGCATTGCCAACAATTTTCTGTGTCATACAAGTAAAAATTGAGAGTTAATGAGTAACACCAGTTAATAAATGCTGGGATTTATGGGGAACTTTAAACCCAAAATTGCTGTCAAAACATTAACTCTGAAACACAGCTTCAGGGTAAGGTCATCCTGTCTTATATCTATTTCTATTTCCACCACATTTTGAGAGTCGAAATGATACAGATTTCTTTTTTCAGTGATAAATATCACTTATTTAATCACTTTGAAATTATGCTTTTCACAACCTTTTCTTGCTGCAAAGTACAAATTAGGGCAACACATTAAATCACCCGGGAACAAAGAAAAATGAGTACTGTTACGATATTTCAAAAGAAAAATCTAATCATGGCATAAATTGTCAGGCAGCACTTAAATAAAGTGAATTAACATGAATGGCAAACGGGGGGAAAGAAAAGGAGAGTTGAAATGTCATACCACGTGGATTCAATACTGTGGTTGTAATATAGGGGTTATAGTTATGTAAGACAGTTTTCAGAGAATTTAGCCTGGTCTGCAGACGTGCAACTCCATCCAGCTGGTCGGACGCCTTTTCCCGGCCGGGCGTGGGGAGGCTCCGTGAGCAGCCTGCGCCCAGCTCCCACTGCCGCTCCTGAGATCCGCTCTAGGAGCAGCGTGCACAGGGCCTGCAATTAGTGGGACTCGCACCCTTTCTGACAGTTATCTTAACTGCTGTTTGTGTGAGACAGGGAAAGGAAACAATCCTGCAAATCCTGCAAACATTTGCACGAGCGTGACTCCTGCACACCCTGAGCTTGGTGCACAGGGAACACACCTCAGGGACATGCAGTCGTATTTCAGCCAAGGTAGTAGTAAAAGGGATAGTCCTGCCTGCAGATAAGAGCGGTTATAGGATGGAAACTGTGAAACAACATTCCTCCTGAGAGAGCGGTGCTGGAGCCAGCTCTATGCAGGAACCCACCCAGCTGAGCCCCAGACATTTAAAGAAAATTCACTGGCACCTCTCGAAAGCAGAAACCAGATGAAATGAAGGACCCACTCACTACTGGAAAGACAAAGGACGCAGTATCTTTGCAAGATAGGCAAGGCATACGTGCTCGCTGATACTCACAGTCTTTGACTGAACAAATTGAACAGGATATACAAAGAGACAGTCAAGGAAAAGGGGAAGGAGAAGAGGAACTATTTTAAGAAGAGAAGCCAATAAATCCCATGGAATGAGAAAGCCTGGGCTCCTGCACGAAGGCGTCCCACAAAATGTCGTTAAACCAAAGAGACTTCAAAGGGGCTGCACGGCTGCTTGCGATGCTCTGCGGGAACACGAAAGTGTGATTCAGCTCCCTGACTTGCTCCCCCGGGGCAGGGGCAAGGGGGACTCCAGAGCAGCACCCGTGAGATTCGGGGGCAATGAGCCGTACCTGTGCCACCCCACCAACAATGGTTTTGCCTCACCCTAGATGGTGAGCGTAGGAAAACATATTCCTCACAACATGAAGGGATGTGTGTTTTGAGGTGAATTTATTATCCCAGGGAACACAAGCTGCTAAACAATTCTGCAAGAGCTCATGTGCACACTCCCGTTCATTTGTTCCAGATGAAAAATATTCCTTCTTTACCTTCCACCTCCCAGTAAAGCATGGACCTCCCCCGAGAAGACCAGAAAAAGCTCAGGACTAGCAAGAAGAGCGTGCGAGGTGTGGTGCTGGGCGGGCTGACTTCTGCAAAGTGAAAACTCAAAAGATGCAGAAAAGATGCTCAGTTTGGTGGCATGGCTGTATTTTCAGGGGAGGACGCCTGCCACTCGCCATGATCTCCTGAGCAATAGAGGCCACACAGCTAAAGGGACAGGTGGGCTGGGCCGGGCGCAAAGCACGGGAAAGCACTTGGAAGACCGCCAATGCAGATTTTATGGCATAGAAATAGCCATGTGAGCACTGCTCTGATGTAATACACCGCAGTGTGAGGCTGCCTTTGATCCTAATATGGGTAAACACCCCAGAACAATCTGCCTTTGCATCAGCGTGAGGAGCTGCACCCTGCAGATGCAGATCTCTCCCTGCCGCTCTCACAGGTGTGTGAAGTGCTTGTGCAGCGCAGCGCCCCAGCTGGACCCGAAGGAGGGAGGGAGGGAGGGAGGGACGGGAGAAGAAATCCTCGTGCATGGCTGCACAACAGCAAACTGCACCTGTGGAAAGAGAAACAGCTCGTGTCTATAGCGGGGAGCAGGTCCACGCTGTCGAGGCCACATTTCGGTGGGGGTGGCAGGGCCAGTAGAGCAGCCCAGAGTGCTCTGGCTGGACGGGCAGCAGCAGTGGTTCCCATCAGGTGCGACTCTTCCCCTGTCCCAGCGGGCCAGGAGAAACAGCACCCTCCTAATTTCCATGGCTGAGCCCCTCCGCCCCTCCGCACCCTCTGCCCAAGGAGCCCTGCTCAGCCTGGGCACCCCTATGATAGCCACCACCCGGTGACACCCCGGTGGTCACAATGGCCTCGATGGCCCTGACGGCCAGCACTGCCCACCCTGGCAGTGCTGCCTCCAGCCTCCACTCCAGACGGCCCCGCATGCCGGGGTCCCTGCCGGGGAGATGACCTCACAGGTGGGAGCCCCGGGCTCACGGTTTGGCAGGAGGGACTCCCGCTCGCCGTGTCCCCTTCCTGCGGGCAGGGGGCTGGAAGATCCTTGCCCTGAGGGTGGCTGGGACAAAAGGATCCTGGTGGTGTCGGTGTGATGCATCATCTCTCCCCTGCTGCACAAATCCCAGCTGCACCATGGTCAGCTGGCTTTGCCCCCGTGGCCGCTGAGATCTCAGAGCAAACCGCATGTGATAGTCCTGGGACGGCTCCACGGGGACAAGCGAGGAGCTGCAGGAGTGGGGACTCCCTGCTGCAGAGCGAGCGGGGCGGCAGCGGCACAGAGGCAGGATGGGCAGCGCCGGCAGCCAGGCAGGGCTCCGGCAGCCGCCCAGGGGAACACTTCATCTGGGGTGGATGTCTGAACCCTTCATGCTTTCTTGATTACTGAAGTCAGTCTTCTCACTGTGACCCCACCTGTGAGGATCTTCTCTGAGACACAACAGACAATTTGGGAGGAATTAGGGATCTCTAAACATATGAGTGGATGCAATAGGATTATGTGTGACACTTAATTCAGGCACAGAGCCCTGGCAGTGCCATAAATAGCGCTGAGGACGTTAAGCTGGTGCTTCCCTTCAAAGACAGTGATCACGTAAGCAGGTGCACTCACCCGGGCACAAAGGATGTTTCTGCCAAGCTTGACATGCCCCAGAGGATGAGCAGGAACCCCCAGGGCAGACGAACCCCATCGCAAGAGCAAAGCCGAAAGCTCAGCAGTCCCTGGCATGGTATCCTGCCTGTCACTGGAAATGACTGTCAGCCCTCTATTGCCGAGCGCATGCAAGGCTTGCACATCTTGAAAGCATCTACATGACTTAGCAGTTGGGTTTTCAAAGTAACTACGGCCTCACCTCCACACCCCAAATGCACTGCTTTAATAACATTAATGCCTCCCTGCTGGGCGGATGCAGTTGCAACAGCAGTCGTGTGCATACTTGTCTCTTATCTTCCAAAGCGAGAAAGGCCATGAGCTATAATCATGCATGTATGTGAATATAATCATTTCTGAACAAATCTAAGTGTGTTCAGAGCAGGGGTACGCAAAACACACCAAAATGACTGCAGTGGTACAAAATCTGCTCTTCAGGAGTCAAAATGCCATTATTTTATCCCCTATGGAAAAAATGGACTGTTGTTTCCTTGTGGCAGTGACTGCTGAAATAACACTTGTCCTGAGCTCCAGCAGCGGAGCCTTTCAGGCGTCTGGCAGGTGGCTGTACCGGGGTGCCAAGAAGAGGCGGTGGACCTGGGGGGATCTGGTCATTTCCTTCAAAGGCTTTAAGGAGATTTCTAAACAATTTGCAGGTGTCACCCTCCTAGTAGGTTTAGGAGCCAGTGTTCAGAGCCAGCTACAGGGAACAGAAATAGAGCACCAAGTAAGCCAGGGCATCGTGGAAACCAGGAAACCTCTTTACAAGGTTCAAAATAAAGCCAGACAGCAAAGTGTTTATCTGGGACACCCAGGAGTAAATTGGGTAATTGCTGGGGGAAGGGCCAGTTTCCATTAGCACAGAGGTGTCATCAATGAAAACAAGATAACTTAGTCATGGTTAAATAACAGCAGCAGAAATACTTTTCCGGTCAGGCACAGCCTTGGAGCAGCCATGGGTGACAAGTCAGCCCCACATGTGTCTTGGGGCACACACCCACGCCACCTCCTCTGCAAAGGGTTCATGCAAATGCACGGGCAAACCAGGCTGTTTCTGCAGCCCTTGGTCCCCCGCGCTGTGCGTAGGGGTGATGGCACTGACTTTGCTCCAAGACTTCAGAAATGTGACCCAAATGATGACAAGGAAGAGCTTGCCTCACAAGAGTCAGCAACCTTGTTTTTCCCTTCACATTTCTGGGGGGGGAAAATCCACTTAGAGTTATGGCAAGAGCACTTAGCATGGCAGTACAAGGTGCAGGGTGGTGTTAGGTACCTGCAGAGGGACCAGGAGCCTGCTGAGCTGATGTCCCAGGCTGTGTTTGTAAAGGACAGTGTTATGTTTCTGTAATCACGGATACACCCCGTTGCATCTTGTGGGTCAGACTGGGTTGAACCATTTTCACGGCTGGTTTGCCATGGCTGTGGTTTGGCAAAGACTTTACAAGAAGCATGTATTGCTATCATTTATAGCTATTATAATTGAGACCCTGATCTGGAACCAGGGCTCCACTGTGCCAAACAGAAGGAAAACGTAGTGTCCCCCAAAAGTGATGAAAGGGTGAGCCAGGTCAGACTGACAGTGGGAACATCAGAACCTGTGTAGCGCTTTATATTCACTGTGCACTGTTAGAAATAACCAGCTGAAATGCAAATCAAGAGAGAATGAGGTCCTTTGAGTCTCATCGTGTGCATTCCCTCAGTATGCTCTGTTTTATTTTCACTAAGTCGCTTCCATATTTCTAGTACATCATTTGATTTTAAACTCACTTTCTCTTTAAGTAATACCACCTTAGATTTTTAGCTAAAGAAATGTAAATACCTGACTTCTCAGCATTTATACTGCGTATTGACTGCCCTTGACGCAAGTGTAAGCAGGCTGGCACTCCCTAAACTCTCCTGGTTTGTTTAACTTGCTGCTTTTTGGTCACCAGTACACAACTCTTGCATCAGGGCCTTTAGCACTGATGAGGATGGCAAAGTGTGGGGGCAATTGCAATGCATTTGTCTGGCTCTTTTGCTCCACAGGTGACTAAAACACCAGAAGCCCCTGGCAAAGACTGCAAGAGACCAAAGGGAATGGAGGAGACCAAAGCGATGCAGGAGGTCTCTCGCACGCCGCCCATCCCAACGAGCCAGCAGTCTCCAGCACGTCGCCACAGGGACCAGCCTTTGGCCGCTCACTTCGTTCCTTTTGTCACCCATTTTGGGAGCCATCAGCCCAACCCCTTCAAGTTTCTCTTCTACAAACCAAGTTGCTCCAACTCGTACAGCCCCTTCTACACTGCACAGAGGCCAACCTGCGGGTACCGCTACCACCACAACACCGATCACACCAGGAAGGTGATGGATGTCCCGAGTGCAAACATTGTGAAATGGAGACCCATCCTGGGCACAAGGCCGTAGTCGAGAGCAATAAAGCCCAAGCAATGAAACCAGCGACCAGTGTGACTTCAGCTTCCCATTGAGTGTCTGAGTTACGACCAGCAGTGAACACGAGCCGAGGAATGGGTGGTGAGGCTGTGTCACTGCTCCCCAGAAAAAAAATGCAGTGTGGATTTTGCTCTAAAAACCTGGTCCATCTTGTCCTGTCATTTATTGCCAACTGCTTATACGGAGGCACTGGGTGTCAGCAGCGCACGGCACTGCACGAATGGCCACCCAGCCAAGCTCATCTGCACAAGCCTGCCCTCTGCACACGCTGCAAAACCTGGGAAGGTTTCGCCAGCTTCTGCGGCTGAGCCTAAATTCTGCTCCTTCTTTGAAAGGACATCTTCTTTCACTAGGCTTTCCTAGACACAGGCAAAGTATTGTTCTTAGTGAATGGAAAAGCAAGTTTCTCAGAAATGAGATAGTAATTGGAGCTGAAATTCAGGCGGCACGTCCCTGCAGCTCTTCTCCAGAAGGCAGCATAAAACGGTTCAGCTTTTGCATTGCCCGTTCTGGAGAACTGGATGCGCCGTTAGCAAGTACTTCTTGAAACAGTTGGCGAGCTTGTATCCACATTTAATACGCAACCTTTCTGCTGTTAATGAATGCCTCAATATTGCAGCCCTTCTCTGTGCTTCAGGACGGGCTAACCCAGCCGTGTCCCCTTTGCTGGGTGGGTCAGAGCCCAGGGCACCCACTGAAGGCTCACCTTGCTCTCAGGTGCTGTGCGCAGCGGAGACCTGTGCCGCCTGCTGCCGGCAAGTGCAGGATTAGCACATCCAATTAGCATTCCTCAATCTAATTCCTTTTTCATAACTGTTTTATGCTTGTGTAATGCCACCTGCTTTAGCAGAGTTATTCCTAATTTGCTTCAGTGCAGAAGCAATACCGAGCTCTGCAACACATAAAAGTTGGGCTCTTTGTCTTAAAGTTGTCAGATATAAAAAAGTGTTATAGGACAGACTCTCTGCAGGTAGAGATCCAATAGTCACGTCCATTTCATTACTAGTGGAGGATCTGGCCCATGCTATTTTCTGAGGATATACTTTTTTATCTTCCAGTCCCTCTCTGAATGTCATGTGTCAGAGTAAAAACAACATTGGTTTTGGTCATATTTACATGGAGAATTCATGGTAATTCATCATAAATGAAAATCGAAGCTGCATTCCACTCCACTGGCATCAGCCCAGTTCTGGTAATGCAGCGGTGACGTGGCCAGGACACGCTCCCGGGACATGCCACGTGCGGGGCAATTCTGTGGAAGAAACACTCAACTGGCAGGACCAGAGAGACTGAACACGGGGACCCAGCAGCTGGGTGGAGGGAGCTTCCCCGGGAGAGGATCATTATAGCATCTGGTGTCTGCATTTACAGCACTTAAAGCTTTACCATTTAAAGCAATAATGTTTCTGTGTTTATCTTGGCACACCAAATTTACCCTCATATAGCATCTCGTATAGGACCTGAAATGGTACTTCCCCCTCCCTGAATTTCAGGCTCAAATTGACAGCCCCCTCTGGAAATCCTCCAGCCAGAGTAAGGCTAAGGGAGACCAAAAAGATAGTACAGCCCAGAGACTTTCAAGTGGTTTTCTCTCTTTCTTCTTACTCTGATTTTGGTGCAGAAGTTATTGCTCATCTGACCCCACACAAAATCATAAATCATAGAATCATAGAATCATAGAATCATTGAGGTTGGAAAAGACCTCTAAGATCATCGAGTCCAACCGTCGAC